TAAAAAGCCAGAAGAAAAATTTCAATGTTTTTACTTAAAGACATAATAAATACTTGAAGAGATAAATAGGCTTACCATGGTTTGAAAATTATATAATTATGTATATGTTGAAATATCTCATTGTATCCCATAAACATATAACTTTTATATGCCAGTTAAAATTAACAAAAGAGAATAATAAGTGGGCATGTTATAATATCTGGAAAATTACTGTTCTGTGGCATCCAACAACAATACTATTTTAATGTTTCTAGGTGTGATAGGTGAATTTAATTCAGATTACTTTGCCTGAGAGCCCATATTTTAAAACACACATAAAATATAAAATTTTTGCTACTTAGAATTTAAAATAGTCTCTACTCCTAGTGTCCCTATAAATAATTTTGTATGCTATGTTTGATATAGTAATAAGACTAACACTGAGCTACTATTTTTGCAGATTAATTTTAGGGTCTTTTTTGGGGGAGTTACTAGGGATCAAGCTCAGGACACTTGCACTTGCCAAACAGGCATTTACACCATCAAGCTATCTCCCCGGTCCTCATGGTCTTTTTAAAAAAATCATAAATGTGCTTTCTTATGTACAATATTCTGAGTATATCACTCTCTCTGGTCTTGTCCTAGCACAGGCTACTAAACTGAAGTGCTTTTAGAAATTGTCCTGAGGCTCACCTGCTATGTCAGGACCTACCACTGTCAGATCAGATTTCAGTCCTGCACTGACTAAGGATCCCAGTGCTATGGTATTAAGACCTAAATATTTATGTTTCCCCAAAATGCATATCCTAAAGCAATTAACTGGGAGGTAATTAAAATTAGAGTAGGTCACTATAGATTAGTGGTCTTTGAAGAGAAAGATAGGTGAGTTGGTCTCTCTATCCCTGTCTCTCTTACTGTCTCCCCGCTCACATGCACCAGCAAGGAGATGCCAGGTGAGGATACAGCAAGAAATGGGCCAGTTCACGCCAGCAGAGAGCCCTGGCTAGGAACCAAACCCGACAGCACTTTGCGATCAAACTTCCTTAGCCTCCATTCTATGAGCATATAAATTGACATTATTAAAATATCTAGTTTGTGGTATTTTGTTGTGGTGGCCCGAGCAGACTAATCCATGGGATGAATAGTACAGGGCAGAAATAATCGAAGTACAGGACTTTTGGTGATGTTATAAACCAGTGCTTCTCAACATTTTCTATCCCAACTTCATTCTTCATTTTTATAAGCATAAGAATTTCTTGCTCAACTCTCACATGTAATTTGAGAATTATGTAAATTAAATACATAACCTCTGAAAATAAATAAAATAAAAATATTACTGAATGCTTCCCTGGCATTCTTATATGTGCTATCCAGGTTCCCCTGTGTTGAAAATTGTTCCAAATCATTCAACAAAATGTAGAGACAAATGAAGGCATCTGGTCCTTACATCCTTGCTAGAAATAAATAATTCACAAACAAGCATAAAATGTGTATGTGGATTTTGGCTGCATTTTCCATGGATTTATTAAATAATAAAACTTTCCTTTTTAAGGACTCCATGTGCTTGATTTTCAAAAAGGTCTGTGATGATCTTATCCAATTTAGACACATAAATTGTTTTAAGTGTCAGAAATGTAAATACAAATACAATATTGGTTAGGTTGCATGTCACCAAGATGCTAAAAAAATCAGCTGACTGATTTATATTGTATTTATAATGGTTTAGCACTGTGTAGGTTAATATAGAACTTTTCTGTCTCTACTAAGGTATACTTAAAATCATGTAGTTTCATTAAACCTAACAAACTCACAAAGTTAATCTGAACTGAAGACCTTACAAAGGTACTCTTGGGAGAGTTAAATGACACTCGAAGAAACAAAATCCTGTACTTATTTTTAAAGCTTTGTTTACTGGTATTATGGACAATGATTCTTCAGTGGTACGGCAATTAAGCCATCTGTGCTTTTCTTCCAGTGTCAAGTTCTGAAATACTTTCTCATTAGTGCCCCGGTGGGATTAAAAATAAGGTTGGGCCATGCCCCAGGACATCAGTCTCTTAGCTTTTTCTGGGGATGCTAGAGACATAACACCGGCCTCATGAATGCTAAGTACAAGCTTTACCCTTGTACAACAACCCCAGCCTCTAATACAAAATGCTCTTGATGTAAGCCCTAAACAGTTCTAACACGCTAATAATATTGGTAGTAAGTACTACCAATGGTTCAAAATCACAGCACTGTAATATTTGTTAAAAGATCTTTGTTATCAGAGTAGAACTTAGTAATGAAAATAAACTCATTTTTGGACACCTACTAATAGTTCACAATGAACCTTTTGTTAATGAAAAAGTAAAAATGATTAGAATATTTTTATTCCTTTTGTATTCCATTTTGTCAGTGTCTATAAAATAATATATCAGCAGGAATTTTAATTATGTATGTAAAATATCTTTGCTTTGAACCTTCAGCCCTTAGTTACAGCTTTTTTTTAGGGCAAATGTAACATTTTGTTGTTTGCACAGTATTTTGTTTTCATATTTATAATTAATATTTTCATCTAGATCAGGGACTAAGTTTTAACTCATAATTGTGTTCACTGTCCTCAGATAATGCTTTTGTGCAGTAGGAGCTCAGATGTTTTGTTTTAAAATATCTTATTGGTCATCATCAATTTCATTTTTAAGAAATAATCTGGCCTTTATCATCTCCAGAATGATCATTTTGTTTTGTGGTAGTGGGGGAATGAACCTAGGACCTTCACATTCAGCTATATTCACATTCTTGTTTGAGACAGGATCTCCTCACAAGGTTACCCAGGCTGGGATCAAATTTGGGATTCTCCTGCCTCAGCTTCTCAGAGTGCTAGGGTGAAGGGAGTTCAGAGTTGTTTTTAAAAGTCAGTGATGGATTCAGAGGACAGATTAGATTTAATTTTTCTTTTTTTTTAAATTTTTTTTAAAATTTTACT